AAATTTTAAATTCAATAAATTTCTTTATTTGGTAATATTAATTTTTGATAAGAAAACTTTATTTATACAAGTTTTTTTACATCGACAAAAAATAATTTTTACAATAAAAATTTTTACAAAATGTCTTTATTAAAAAAAATCATAAACTTTTTCAAATGTACATCTAATGAAATTACTGATGAAGATTTCTATGGATGGAATTGTTCAACTTCGTCAACTATCAATAATGAAAAATCTTACAAAAAATCATTATCAACAACTGAAGAAGATGAACAATTCAAAAAAAAAATCAAAATTGATTTGAAAATTGATGGTTATAAAATTTTTACAAGATATGAAGAATTTAGAGAATATCTTGTTGAACAAAATTTAATTAATCCTTCGTTGAAAATTTTTCATGATACTAAACACAAAAGACTTCATAATATTTTGGGATAGATTGAGTATCACACAAGGTCCACTTATTATGGTTGGGGTGAAGGTTATTATTTTCATTATGTAAATGATACATTGGATTTGTTAGAAGATGTGAATGAAAGAAATACATTTTTAATAGATAAATATTTTTCAGAAGTTAACAAATATGTTAAGAAATATAATATTAAATTTATCTGGTGTTGGGCAGATTTAGAGAGTTATAATAAAAAATATTTAGCATATTAAATTATTAAAATTGTATATAAATAGTAATTGTAAATAAAATTTAACCTAAATTATAACAATATCCAACTTTATAAATTGTCTTATTCAATTAAAAGAAATTATCCTAAACAAATAATTAAATAGAATAATAAATATTCTAAAGTGTCAAATTCTAAACAAAGATAATATAATTAAATTAAACTATAAATAAAATTAAAAAAACGGTCAAGAGGTCTTCAACCAGTTTATCTGGTCTATCGATATGTTTTAATATATCGCTTTGATAATTTGTTGTGGGTAGAAGATTTATAAATTCTTTCGTATATTGATAACTTTATAATTGTTGGCTTGTCAGTTGAAGAAGATTGTATAACAAAAAACTAAAATTTCATCATGTTCTAAAGTATTGAATAAAATCAATACATATTGCCAAGAAAACCTTCTTGACAATAATTATATGATTGCTAAGATAATTTAACAATCATGAAATAAATCGTTCTGGAAATTGTTTAAGTAAATAATTCCAGAACCAAAATTGATATAGAGTAATAATAATTAAAGTAGTTACTATATTAATAGTAACTACAGCAATCCAAAAGAATATTTTGGAATAAATAATTTTAATAAAGTATTGGTAAATACATTCATGGTATTTACCATAAAAAAGATTTGTTAAAAATAGTCCGAAGATGCAAATAAGAATAAGAGTAGTGTAGAAAGTTTGATAAATCATTTTGTTTGAGTTTAAAGTTTTGTTTAAAGATTTGATTATATGTTTGAATTTTTGCTTTGAAATGAATAAATCATAAGGAACATTGAAAACATTTTGTTAGGATTTTTATAGAACTCTAATAAGAAAATAAAGTTCATGCATGCAACATTTGATAAAAATTTTGTACAATGAATGAACAATATCAGATTGTTTTTTAGCCAAGAAAAATAAAACACTCATTAAAACAATTGGCATATTTGCTTTCTTGATTGTTAAACAGACTTTTGTCTGTTTAATGCACAAGAAAACAAAGAACCAATTGTTTTACTTACAATAATAAAATTATAAATAAAGCTTAATTTAGATTTATTCAACCTATATTTATAGATTTACAACCAAAAAAAAAATAAAGTTTTGTTTAATAAAAAATATTTATTTATCGATTAACACATTTATTTATTATAAATATTAACTAATAAAATATAAATTTATTTATAGATAAGTTAAAAAAATAACATATATAAATTATTTACTTTGAGAATGTTGTGACATATAATATTCAAAATTCTGAATATTTTTGTCTTCTAAATATTTATCATAACTATTATATTCTCTCTTTTGTAAAAATGCTTCATAACCATCATCACTCTCGTTTTCCTTATAATTAAAATTATTCGTATTGGCAATATGATAATTTTCATTATATTCTCTTTCATCATCATTAAATACATTATAATAAGCTTCATTATAATTATCATAATTAAAATTATCTTCTGAATCATATTCAGATTTAAACTTTTTAATAAAACAATCTTCACAACTACCTCCATATTCGATACAACTACAAGCAGTACTATCATCATCACTCAATGAAATAATACTTTGTCTATCGAATTTTAAGCTTCCCTCTTCTGTTTCTTCTTTTTTAACATTTTCTTCATCAATCACAATTACTTCATTTTCTTTCATAACATTAACTTCATCAACATAATTAACAACTTCATGTTCAAAATGTTGATAATCTTCATTACTTCATAAAAAATGTCCCAAACTGTACCAAAATAGTAATAAGCATTGATAAATAAGTTTATATGATATTGATTTAAATCATTAAGATAATTATTTCTTTCTTTAAGAAATTGATTTTCAGATTCAAGATCATAAATTCGCTTTTCATAATCTTGAATAATGTCTAATGAAAGTTCAAAAACATTATTTGTTTCATTTCCATTAACAATAAATCATTGTTCAAAAATTTCGTTAGACATTTTTAGTTTTTTTTAAGTTTAGAAATAATATGATTGTTTTGTTAATGATAATATGGATAAGAAAAATTATGACTCTTTTTAAAGTTATTTTTTGTATAAAGATAAACATATAAGATTTAATTGGTTTTATAATAAGAATTAAAATTACTATATTAAGATAATCAAAAATGATCATGATGTTTTATTATTAATTTTTTTTCATTTATTATTATTATTTTTTTTTTCCTTCACTTGAGCAGTCTTGCTAGTCACCTTTATTATGTATTTTTGTATTACATATATACAAATTAGTTCATAAATTCTGGCCCAACATCCTGCAGGTGCTTCTATGAGTCCCTACAAGCGATCTGCCTGTACTGACAATCTAATTTCAAAATAAATTAGAGTACATCAGGGGCCACATCTGACCATCGCTCTACAATAGGATATTGCCAATCTGATAATATCTTCTCATAGAGAAGTGAACAAAAACAAAAAAACTTATATAAAAAAAAAACACAGAGATATAGGGGTAGACGATAAAAGATACAAATGCAAGAAATAAAAGAGAAAAAGGGAAGAAGTGAAAAACAAAAGAAAAGATATGTGCAACTCTCGCCATACAACTATTAGATAGTCACAATTATAAGTCTGTGTCAGGCTTTTAAAAATTATAAACTATACTAAATAGAAATAACTCTACTATTTTTCTATCTACTAGAATATTTAATAAAAACCATATAGGATAAAACTTTGACTTGAATGTAGAGAGTCGGCATAAGTACTAGTTAGTCTGAGAAAGTATTTCACAGGGTTTCAGCAGTTCGAGGCATGTGTATAAGTCATGTTTGTATTGCTGTATTGTTTACACAATCCTGATTAGGAAGTAAATACTGTTGACTGTTTTGGTATTTTACGTGTTGATCTTTTGGAGGGGGTAAACTAAATCGCCCACTTTTTACAAAATTTTCCTCGAAAAAAAGAGAAGACATAAGGTGAACCAAACTATAGCTTTTGTGAATGCTTAACCCTTCTGGGAGTTCTTTGTAGGTTTTACAGTTGTATAGAACTAATATATCCAATACTGTTGTTTACTTTATGAGAAACTTTTGGCTTTCACCAACTACTTCTTCTATGGTTCCAGAGCTTCTTTAAACCGTCATTACAAAGTGATAACTTCTTTTTCAACTCTATTCAATGCCCACTATGCATGCCCAGTGTTCCAGAAAAGTTTTTATAAAGTTTAATATATTAACTATATTATTTTTCTGTAGTTCGGCATTTTGGAAGGTTTGGTCCAGATAATCATCGGAAAGAGTTGTCCTAATATTGTTTCTATTTATTATTAATATGCATTACATAAATAAATAAATATATGATTTTTATTATTAATTAAATTTTTATTAAATCTTATTAAAAAAACAAGAATCTATATTATGATTATATTTATGACATAAATAGCAATATTTAATTTTTGTACATGAACCCTCATGAATATTATTACACCAAGAACAACAATTAAATTTACATGACCAAAAATAATAGTTTGTTGAGCAACAAGCTTTACAATACACAGGTATTGTATTTTTTACTTCAGAATAATATGTTGCATTTTTTTGAGGAGTTCACCATTCGCTAAAAAATAAATAAATATAAATAAACAATATAAAAAAATTAATATATAAGAACCATTCTTACTTGTTCATTTTTTAAAAAAATTAAAAAAAAATAAGATGTACAACACAAATATTTATATTTTGATAACAAAAATTATATAAGCAAATCTAAAATATACTATACTAAAAAACATCATGAAATCTTTTATCTACATTCTTTTTTTCTTTTTCACTATGCAAGCATATGCCTTAAGATACTGTGAATACTTTGATAATAATAAGCTTATATTATTTACAATCAATGAAAAAAAAGTAATTATTGGTTATAATGATGTAATCAATGAAACTATCATTGAAAATTTTATTGAACAAACAAATATTTACAATGATAACATTGAGAAAATTTTGATTTATAATGATGTATACATTGAACAATATGAAGATATTCCTTTAGATTTAGATTCTTATGAAATAGGAATTACTAATAGTAATCATTTTATCTCTTATCTTTTCAATTGTTTTTAAATTTTTGTAAAACTATAAATAAAGTTTGTAACGAATTTTATTTTTTTTTATAAATATAAATAAAATATATTTAAGTTTAAACCAATAAATATGCAAGATACTATTTTCTTTATTTTTTTTTTGTTTATATTATTTTTTTCATCATCTAATTCTGCATGTACAAACCAATTTATTCATCATAAAAATGCAACTACTAAAAAAAATACAAAAAATAAACAAAGAACAGGAAAATCTAGACGAAGATCAAAAACACCTGAAAATTAAGATCCAGAACTATATGTACCACCAGGAATGATTTTAGATACACTTGTTACATATGATTATGATAAAAAAAAATATGTACTAATCTTAAATAAAAATGGTAAAATTACAAATTGGTATAAAAATAGAATTTATATACAACGTTTATATGGAAGGCATTTTAGACCAAGATATGAACCAGTACATAAAGTTGGGGAACAATTTTTAAATTAATTATATAATAAATAAATTATATAATACATAGTATAAAATTCTTAGTATTTTAGAACATTCTAAATTATGTAATTTCTGATAAGCTAAATCAATATTTAAATTAATTATATAATTATTATTTATATTTAAATAAACTGATTAAATAAAAAAAATTTATGATTATTATCCAATATTTAATATACGTTTATTTTAAAAAAAATAAAAAATACTAACTATAAATTTAATTTAGTACAAAATGAATTACAAGTATGTTTACTTAACACATTTTGCATTCCAACTAATCCTCTATCAGTAAAACCAAATAAACCAGTTTGTGAATTAATTGCAGCATCAGTTAATTCATAATTATAACTGTACAAATCACCTTGTAAATCACAAATAACTAATTGATAATTTGAATATTTGTAACTAAAATGTGTAAATGCTTCTAACATTTTACATTTTTCATCAGGATTTTGCCACACATTATTACTATTGAACTTTAAAAAATTTTCTAACTCAGACTCTAAAAAATACAAATGATTATTATAATTTAACAAATAAATATTTTTAAAGATAATTTTACATGAAGATACTCTAGTATTATTAAATTGATTTGCAAAATATTGAGAAACTAAAGTAGTTAAAACTGCTACTTTATATCTATCTAAATTATTTTGATCAAATAAATATTCTTTAACTACAATATTACATCCTGTACTAAGATTTTTATCATGATATGCTCTTCATTCACCACCAGTTTGAAATTTATTAGAATCAAATATAATATTATTACTAGAAAATAAAACATTTGCAGGATCAATAAAATAAGTATAAATTTGATCTAATGTTGTAATTGGTTTAAATGCAATTGTATCAACATTAATATTATATTTGTTATTTGCTAAAGAAGTTTTAATATCAGATATATCATAATTATTATAACTTCTAGAACTTAAAATTGGATTTGCAACTAAATAAAAAACAAAATTAAAATTAAATCTAATATAAAAATATTATATATGTAAAAATTTTACTATAAGTTCTTCTATCAGAATACATTCTATTAAAATTAAATGACATGTTTAATAATTATTATATGTATTATTTTTTCTAGGATTTATATAAAATTTAAATAAAAAAAAATAAATAAAAGTTTAATCAATAAAAAATATGTATGAATATTTTTATTTATTCTCTTTTTGGTTTTATTGTTTTTACATTATTTGATTCTATATATACAAAACTATCTATTTCATTGTAAAAATCCAACTACTAAAAAAAGCACCAAAAATAAACAAAAAACAGAAAAATCAAACCAAGGGTCTAGACAAAGATAAAGAACACTTAAAAATGAAAATTTAGAACAAAGAATATCTTTTAAAATAGTTTTAATTACGCTTGTATATATGATTATAATAAAAAAAAATAATGTAATTTTAGATAAGATAAAATCATATGATTATTTAGTTTAATTAAAAATTATTAGTAAATTAGAACATTCTAAATTACATAATTTTAATAAGATTTAATCATATGATTTTTTATTTGATAAAATTCTTGGCATTTTAGAACATTCTAAATTAGTAATTTTAGATAAGATTAAATCATATGATTAATATCATATGATTTTTTATTTATTTTTAAATGTTGATCATTTTTTGTTTACAAAAAAAACATCGCATACTTTTTCTACTATGAACATTTTTTAAAAAAAGTTAGTATTGTTTTATTTTTTTTTAAAAAAAAATTATATGATTACATATACTAGTTGGAACAAAAACTTTTTTGCTTCTTCTTTTTTGAATAACTGGGGTTCAATATATTAGAAGCACAGGTGAAACTTTTTAGATGACTGGTCTGTTTCATCTGCCAGTTATAGTGCTTATAACTTTTAAAGTTTTTGTTAATGATAAAGTTTTTTTTATTTTTTTTTATATATATATTTACGTAAACATTTATTAAATAGCTATTATTCTTTTTTTTTAGATGTCTGAAGAAAATATCAATGATATAACAAAAATCGACAATATTATTGCAACACTATTCACACTCTGTCAAGATTTAATAAATAAAAAATTCTGTGAAGAATGTGAAACTTTAAAAGAAAATTGCCAAAGAGCTTTCAGAAAGTATAATAAAGGTCTTTCACTTGTTAAAAATATTGAAAAACTTTAAAAAGAAGTTGATGATACAAATAAAAAATATATCGATTTAAACACTAAATTTATTAATTATAAATTTAAATATGAAAATGTAGAATAGTTTTATACTTATGTATTTTATTTAAGAAAAATAAATATTTTTATGTTATTTAAAAATTTTAAATAAAAAAATTTTTGAAATCTAAAAAATATCGCTTTTGATCTGAAATGAAAGACAAAATACATTCTTTTTTGTAATATAAATTATATTTACCAGGATACAAAATTAAAAATGAATTTGTATCAGATAATGTGTTTTTAATAACTGAATTTCTATTACTAAATCCTTCACATTCAATAAATTCAGGAACTGGAATTTCATTTAATAAATTATCATAAAATGTAACTAATAAATAATTTTCAGTTTGAATCTTATAAATCTTAAACATAAATGGTAATGTTTTATAATATTTAAGATAACTTGATCTTTGACCTTAAAAAAGACTCACGATTTCGATCATTTTTTTTTAATTTTAATAAAATAATTTTACGATATTTATATTTAATTTAATAAAAATTTTTTTTAAATCTGACTCAGAGAAATTAAAAATGTATAAAATTAATGAAAGTTCTTTAATTGGAAGTTTAAAAAATGTATTCACTTGAGGAAGAAACTAACAGATCACCTTGGAAGAAAATATTTAAATCATTCGAAGTATTATCAACATGGATTGAATTACCAATTGTTAAACCTTGAAGAAAATTAAACTCTTATCATCTTATAGAGATCAATGCGACATTGTTCAATGAAGTCCCGACACAAATTCCAGATATTACATTCTTAATCGATCTCGACAACTTCTACTTTATACAAAATTATACTTGGTGTTTACATAAAATTGGAAATACATATTATATTGAAACAAAAAATAAAAATAAAACTTTACATTTTTATCAAATGGTTTATCCAGAATATGAAATGATTGATCATATTAATAGAATTGGGACAGATAATTGGAAATGTAATTTACGAGAAACAAATCATAAATTAAATACATTAAATTGTAAACTTTTTAATACAAATACATCAGGTTATAATGGAATTTCATTTATTAAATATAATAATGTTTGGAAGTTTCAATAGTATGAAAATAATAAAATAAAACAAAAATATTTTTATATTAACAAAAAAAGAACTAATGAACAAGCAAAAAAACAAGCAATAGATTTTAAATTATAACATGACAAAAAAACTGGCAATCGAAATAGCTATAAATTTTAATAAATTTAAATTAAAATATATTTTAATTGTAATTTATTACTACTTTTTGATGATGGACCCTGTTTTTTAGTTTTCTCTAATGATTCACAAACTAAATTACATTTATGACATTGTGTACAAGGTCTTTTATCATCACATTTAACTTTTTTTATTTGACAAAATTTGCAAGCAGATATGCAATTCATTTGAATTAGTTTCATTTTTTTTTTAATATTACTAATCAAATTAAGAATGTTTAAATATTTGTTTCGAAAAAACTATTTAATAAATTTTAAATTAAATTCTTAATTTGGAATTGATAAAGAAATATAATTTGATTGGTGTATATCAAATTTAATTTAATATATATATTTGCTAGAAAATAAACATGACTTAAAAAAAAAATGGATTTTTGAACAAAATCATTAATTATTTTGATTCAGCATAATATTAATAATTATATTTATGGTAATGATATTATTTGATACTTTGCAATATCTGAACAAGATTTATTAACAGAAGCTGAAAATAACAGAGTTTGCGAAATTATTGATACTTTAACAAAAACACTTACAGATGAAAATAGCAATTATTTACAATCAATTTTTAAAAATTTAAATATTTTTACGACTATTAAAACTGAAGTTCAAAAATGTAAAAACAAAAAACAACTTGTTGAATATATCAATTCTTTAACAACAAAATATATTTTATAATAATTTTAAACATATGAATTTATTTTATTTATAACTAAATGTCATGCACATAAAACTATAGTCAAAATTATAACATATTATAAAAAATAAAAATATTGAAGAATAAATAATTATCATATTAATAAAAATCATCTCAGTTAAACTTAATTTTCTGTTTAAAAAATTTTTCATATCATCATCTTGAAAAACTACTTTTAATGCATTATTAATTTCAACTAACTCATTATTCCTATCAACTAATCTTCTATTATTAATTTCTAATTGTTGATTGTTTAATTCAAATTTTTTAATTTCATTAATCAATCTAGTGTTTTCTCTTATTAATTCATCTTTATTAGCATTTAAAGCAATATTCCGTTGACATATGTCTTAAATTTCATTTGATAAATTTATATTTTCTTGTTGCAATAATTCCCTATCAGTTAATTTTGGTACTTCAGACATTTATTTTATTTTAATTATTAAAATAAAATGAATAGATTTAAATGTTTATTTATAAAATTTAAATATATATAAAACTATTTTGATTTAACTATAAGGGTTCTATGTACTGAATTTAAAGATTTTTGTAAATGTTTAACTGTTAATTTCTCAATACAAGATTCACAAAAAATATGTTTACAAAATAATAATTCAACATCTAATTTTAAAAAATCAAAAGGATCTACAAATATAAATGGTTCTTTTTTACAACGATTTATATCACAAAATTGATTCAAAATACCACATTCATAATAAAAATTATATCCTTAATATTGATCACATTTTTTTTTTAAAATATGATCTGTAAATCTTTTTTCATATAAATAAATATAATTCTTTTGTAATTTACTATAAGCAACCCCAAATTTGTTATACAAAATCTTTGTTTTTCGCAATTCACCTTTTTTACAATTTTTACAATTTTTAATATTATTCATAAAACAATGATGTTGAAATGATTTTAATCATTTACATCTATCACATAAATGTGTTTTACCTTTAAAATAAACAAAATTCCCATCAAAATGATTAATTTCATAAAACAATAATGATTGTTGAAATGTATTTTTAGAACGATAAAATATATTTGGTTGAATCTAAACTGTTTCTTTGTTTAAGATGTAAAATATATGTTTGATAAAAAATTTTCGATACAATTTTAACATTTTCATGTTGAGAAGGTGAAAGAAAAGCAAAAATATAAAATAAAAGATCTGAAATATTTAACAAATTCATTTGATACTTCAATTTTAAATATAATAACTATTTATATAATTTTATTTATAATAAATAATAAAATAATAAAAATTAAAAAATAAAAATAAAAAAACTATTTTTCATTGTCAGACACTTCCATCATCTCAAATTCTGTCTCTTCACTACTTTCATTATTTTCAGCATTATATTCAAGTAATTCAATTTTAACTTTTTTCTACTCCTTTAAATGACACATTGCATGAGAATGTAAAGTTTGTAACCAAAAAAAAGCTTTGTTATCAATTTCAAATATGAAATCTTCATGCCAAGAAATTATTCATCCTTCAAACCCATCAATTTTTTTTACTTCTTTTTCTAATTTTTTAAATTCTGAACAAACAAAACATTTAATGTTTTTAGGTACATTTTCAAGAGGATAATTATTATCATGTTAGGAGCTTCCTTTTTTTATATAAGAGAAGACCATTACGTAATACCATTTTTCTAAAATATAAAATATAATTATTAAATTATATTCAAAAATAAAAAAATTTGTAAATATACATACTTTTTTTTTTGATAAAAGGTTTTGTTTTTTTTTTTGAATTTTTATACACATTTTTATATGTAATTTAACTTGAAATTATTTCTATTTATAAATATTTTAGTTATACAAATAAATTTATTTTTAATTTCATTATCATAATAAAATTACTAAAAATAACTAAATATTTATTTATATAAAAATCTAAAAATACATTTTCTATCTTTTAACAAATGAATGATAAAGTTTTTGGAATTCGTTAAATTCTTTTTCGAGTTCTAATTTTTTATCAACATTTATATCCATTTCTTGAAATATTAAATTATATATATTTTGATTAATTTCTTCAAAATAAATGTATCTTTCCATGTATAAATCAGGAAATTTTTCATGAAGTATATGTAAAACCTGTTTAAATTTCATAAATCAATGAGATACATATGATAAAAATAAATTTTCTTTTAAAATATTTTTATATTCTTCAATTTTAAGATCAAATTTAGAAATATTTCTAAAATTTGTAAGATGATTAATAGAATTTTCAATTTTTGTATCTAAATCCATTTTAAAAAATTAAAAACTTTTAAAAAAAATGTGTTATTTTTATATTTTTCCTTTATAAATAAACATGCTTTTCTATTAAAACTTGTTTAAATTTTAAAAATTTATCACAAAATGTTTGAAATTTTAGAAATAAACAGTACTGGTTTTACTGTTAAAGTATAAATAATAATTTAAATAGAATATTTTATACATGTATCATATGTAAATTTTCTGTTTAGAAAGGTGAATACTAAAATATTATCAAATATAAATGTAATTTATTTGCTATTAAATATCAAGTTAAAAAAAAATAACAAAAATCATAATAGATTTTTTTATAATTGTATCAAACAAAAAGATAACTACAATTTTTTTAAATAGTTTAATTAATTTATATTTATTAATAAAATATTTATATATATATAATAAAAATTTTAAACCTATTTTCTACATTTACTACTTTCACTTTCATTTGAATTAAAAAATTCATTATGTTTTCTATTATTACGTTCTTCTTCTATAAAATATTCTTTATAATCTGATAATTCTTCACATTGAGAATATTCAGATAAATATTTTTTTTTAAATTCTGGAAAATGCTGATGCCAATAAACTTGTCTATTTTTAACAATTACTTTTTCAGGTTCATTCTTATTTAATTCTTTTACCTTTTCAATTGTTTCATCTATTGTATCTTCTCCTTTATCATATTTTAGGTCCCAAATCATATTCCGAAAATTTTGTTTAGATCCTTTATGAAAATAATTTTGTGTTGTTCTTTTTTCAATATCGTCATCCCATTTACCCATGAATTCAATTATAAAATCAAGTCTTCTTTCAAATTGACTCCAATCTCACTGTATAGTTTCTTCTATTCCTTGTTGACCAAAGTTGAATGCTTCATTTGAAGGTTTTCGTGATGTCATGAAAATATAATTTGCTAAAAAAGGAATAAATCCTTTTCCTTTAATTTCAACTTCTTCTGGTGTATCATTCAAATAATTTATAATATCATT